GGAGCAGCTTAGTGCGCCTCGGTGCATTGTTTGAAGCAGCCTGAGCTGCATGGCGACAGAGACTCTGAGTGCCAGGTTCCCATTCACACTGATCACACATTAGACTGATCAAATCAGACTCCAGGCCTGCTTCCTGACTAACTCGATTTGCTCTTCTACGCTTCCCTTTTCACGCTGGGCACACGCGCACACACACACACACACAGGCGCGGACATGGAAGCACCTTTTTCTTGTACGTGTACACATGCCCAGCCGGCAGTGAGTGGGGCAGCACTCATTGAGCTTTAATGAAAAGCAGAAAAAGCGGTTACCTTGGCAACTGCCTGCATACATCTTCAGGAGGACCCAGATTTCCTGTCTCGCAGCGATCGTATTGTTATGGTTGTCTTTTGATAGCTGCGGCATCCCTATGTGGATTGTCTCACCGCTGGGTGAATTTATGAAGACTCGTCTTTAATTAAGCAGAAATGATTAAAAACAAAAAAACAGGAACCCCTCCTTTGGCTAAAATCCTTTTTTTTTTTTTTTTGCAACCATATTGGAACAAACCTAAAAACACATTTGTGGATTTTCTACAGGCCTTGAGCCGGTTTCCCCTTCATGCATTCAGCTGTTGGGCTCTTCTACAACAAGAACACAGCTGCCAAACGCAGAGGATCATGGGAACTAATCTGCCTGCATGATTCATCCCAAAAAAAAAAACAAACAAACAAAACAAAACCCTCCAATAAAGTAAGAGGTGTAAATGCTATAGCCTGAACGGACAGAATTTTGTCCACCGAGGCAATAAAAGCGCACAGTGTTGACCTTCTTTTTTTGCTTTGAAGCCTCGAGACATTCATCCATAAAAGCACACATGCAGTGTAAACATGACGTCCTGCATGTCGGCAATATATTTGATTACACAAAGCACACTGCTCCTCCATTATCGTTCTCATCGCCATAATCAGATTACTCTAATTATTATAATTGTCTGCGTAGGGTTTGTTATCTTTGTTTGCCGTCCTAAACAGGAAGCAGATTTGACCCCCCCACATGGGAGGCGGGTGGAAGGGATGAAGATTTACCTCGGTGGGATTTTTAACCAAACATCCAAGCTATGATTAGGATGCCTGGAAACCACGACGACGGAGAAATGTCCCGCGTTCAGACCTCTGACGCGCCTCTGTGCTTCTATGAGTTGATGATTAGCAGCCTGATTAGCTCCCTGCCGATCATCATGTCGGTGTTGGGATTTTATTTTAGCAGAGCTTTATAGGTGGAAAATAATCTGGGTATTCAGAAGCCTTCCCAAAGCATGATGCTGCCACCACCATGTCTCACAGTATGGATTGATAACTGTAGGGTTTGTTCCTCATGCAAACCGCCTTATTCCATCTATCTGATATGTCCTCACAGAACCCTGTTTGATGAGTGGCTTTCCTCCACCTCAGAGTCACTACAAACTTAATAGATATCAGTAATTCCTGTCCCATCTCTAAATGCTGTTGTTTCCTCTGTCCAACCATTGTGAGTCTCTGTTCTTTAGCTTAGATTAGTTTTGTCTTCAATTTAAAGTTTCTTTTAGCAATAACTCAGTGCAATATTTATTTATGTTACTTCTTGCAATAACTCAGTGCAATATTTATGTATATATATATATACTTCTTTACCCTGTATAGAGCTAGCTCTTAGCTTGTAGTTGCAGAAAACATATTTAATGTGCAGGAATAATGTCTTAGCTCTGTTACACTGGTAGCCAAGTAATCAACATTTTGTTGTCAAGATTCACTCTTTGTGTTTTTGCGCAATGACAATAAAGGAAGTCTAAGTCTTTCTTCCCGTTACAGTATACACATTTTTCTCTTTTTCTGTGTCCTTCCTTCTTTCATCTTTTCCTCCTTGTAACTTTTCCTTATTTCTCTCCTCTGTCTTTCTTTTCTTCTTTGAGCTCTTCTTTCCTTATTTCCCCTCCTCTTTGTCTCCTACCTCCTTCCTTATTGCCTTCCTTCTGATGTGTCTGACTTTTTCCTTCCACGCTTCTTTGCATCCTTCTTTCCTTAAATGTTTCCTTTGTTCCTCACCTTCTTTCATCCATCCTTTTCATGTATCCTTGTTCCCTTCCTTTCTTCTGTCCTTCCTTCTTTCATCTTTTCTTCCTTGTAACTTTTCCTTATTTCTCTCCTCTGTCTTTATTTTCTTCTTTGAGCTCTTCTTTCCTTATTTCCTTTCCTTTTTGTCTCCTACATCCTTCCTTGTTGCCTCCCTTCTGTCCTTCTGATGTGTCTGACTTTTTCCTTCCACGCTTCTTTGCATCCTTTTTTCCTTAAATGTTTCCTTTGTTCCTCACCTCCTTTCCTCCATCCTTTTCATGTATCCTTGCTCCCTTCCTTTCTTGTATCATTCCTTTCTGTATTTATGCCAACTTCCTTTCCTTCACTGTGTTCTTCCTTCCTTTCCTAGCTTCTAGAGGCCCATTGTAAAACCTCTGCAGTGTAGAAATCCTCCAATGTGCCATAAGTTTATAGTTACTTGTTGTTGTTTTATGTTTTCTCACATAAGTCAAGTCTAGAAAAGTATGCACACCCTGCCCTCTTTTTTGATCATAACAACAAAGACAAAAACTTCTGAAGGTTTGAATTTACTACAAATAGAAGCAGCAATGTTGGCTTAATGATCATTTTTAATAAACACTTGTGGATAGTTTAAAGTTTTTAATCTAGAACAGTGAACGTTTGTCAAAGCTTTGATAACTTGGATTGCTCTGGGCTGTTTGCTTTCGTCCTGCAAACTTCATTTTCAGTGAAGAGGAAATATTTGAATGTTTTTAGACGTGGAATGGACATTAAGAAAAATAAAATATTTGTGCATCCTATCATTTAATCGCTTTTATTGAAAACAAATGATGAAACAAATGGGTTAATGCAGCTCTTAGCTGCAACACGTGTCATCTCTGTGAAGGTTTGTCGCCTTCCTGAGGTTTTTGTCTGTTTTTATGGTTATTTAGAGTCCTAAAGCCTTTGCAGACAGCACTGATTCCCCTTCTCCTCTGTTCTTACGTCCTCAGACCTTAAAGGGACACTATGCAACATTTTTCAGTTAATTAATGTGTTCCATAATGTTTTGGATGATTAAATGAGTCATTTCAGGTTGAACAAAGGTATTCTCGGCCGCCCTGGTGATCTGTGGGGGAAATACCGCACTTGCAATTGCAGGAGCACCGACCCGCACCCACAGGCTCAGAAGTCTCACGAGAGTCAGTCTTGCTTTACGGCGAGAACTGCTACACGCCCCCAGTTAAAAGCATGCTCGTTGCTAGCACAGTGGCGATCTTTGTGCAGTTATGCTACGTTCACATCGGGCGCAGCAAAATTGCGTCTGCTGCTTCATTTTTGCAGCTTGTACCAGTTAGTTCTGACGCGCGGCTGAAGCAGCTTTGCTGCTCTGGCTGCGCGGTGCAAAAGTGTGTCTGACGCGCGTTGGGCGGAGCTTCACTATCCTTTCTCTGCCTTGCAGCTATATTTGCTGTGATCATTTGGAATAAAGTAGTTTTAATATGTTTTTAAGTGAGAAAATACACCTGAAAACGTAATCAGTGCCGTCAGTTCATTCAGATTATTATCCTGCCTTCAATATTTTTTCTGTCGGAGCCGCTCAGACCCCCACATACCAGCGGGGCGCCGACAGTAGGAAACCCTTCATCAGCAGCCTCTGGCCGGGTCGCCTCCTCGCGGTTCACCGCGGCAGCTGGTAGGTGTTTTTCATCAAAATAATCCAAACTGCAGGCAGCAGGATAATAAAAGCCAACATATTCTGCCGGCAGATTTCTGCATTTTAAGTTAATTTAGGCGTCAATAAACTGTTTAAGAGGAGTGATCATCAGCGCTGTGTCTCTCTCCCTGCGTCAGATGATTAAACGCGCCCGACGTGCTGCTTCAGCTGCTCAGACGCGCTGCGCCTGCTGCTCAAAACCTTTTGCTGCGCCTTGATGCGCGTCAACCATTGACTTTGCATGTAAACTCGCTGCTTCTGTCGCGCCAGCTGCGGTGTGAACGCAGCATTAGTCATTCGTTGCGTTCGCCTGTCTGCTAAGCTCAAAACAACCGCGCCTGGCTTGACGGAGAAACCAGGAGAACAGCTGTGCATATTTACGACAGTGCACTTTTACTTTCGCCCTCTGGGGGGAGCCTCGCTGGAAAATCAACACCGGTTGCATAGTGTACCTTTAACTTCTGCAGGTCTGGGCAGGATTTGCCTACTTCATGTGGTCAGGCTTGTTCTATTTCTTTCTGTTTTTAATAAATCGGTGCAATCGAACAAAAAAAAAAAAAGTAAATAAAATGTAATGTGTGATTTGAATCCAGGTTTGTTCATTTTAGCTAAATCTGAAACATTTAGATCCAACAAAGCCGATAGAAAGTTTCAAAGCGGTGAATAATATTATACAAGTAATTTCATTATTTTGTAATAAAATAATTTCCCTGTGACGTAATCCTCTCATGTTGAGGACTGGCGGTGACAGTCACTGCTGAATAATTAGAAAGATAAAGCTCAGCCTGAGGCTTCGGCTCCAACATGTCACCATCTGTCTGCTTATCAGATACGTTTCCGTTTCTCCAACTAATGTGACTTCCTGCCTCAAAGTAAACAGAGGAAAATGTCCTCCTGGAGGTTTGGTGCCGTTTGGTATCTAATGGCGCTGACTGTGTCCAGGCACACACACCACATCAAGCTATGCAGCTGCTTAGCCGGCCTATTATCTCCTCAGCTCTCACTGCATTAAATGCTGGGTTTTCCTTTTTTGCTTGTCAAAACATTCCTATTAGACAGTAAGTGGTTTAAATAAGCAGGTAATTAGTGCTTATTATGAAAAACAAAAGTAATTCTGCTGCTGTTTGAATATGATATTAACGCAGACAGGCCTAAGAGCCAGCAGAGGGAAAGAACTTCCACCAGTCCTCAAGAGGATCATGAACTTGCATCTATTTATGTCATTTTCCTTCCTCCTCCTCCTCCTTAGATGGCCTATAAGCCCTGGCTCTGCGCTCAGTACTTCCCCAACATCAAGCTGTCTTGTCAGAGGAAGATACCGTGCCACCGGTACTGCCTGGAGGTCCAGCAGAGTTGCCCGTTCATCCTGCCAGACAACGACGACCTGATCCACGGCGGGAACCCCAGCTTCATCTGCACAGGTAAGAAGCAGCTGAGGGAGCCGGTCTGCATGTCTGATCCCTGACATTGTGTGCTTGGATTTCTTTTTTTTTTTTAGTAAGGAGCATTTTATGATTAAATGCAGAGAACTAAACTCCATCCACCTGCTTAGATGACATCCCTCCTGGAGGGGAAGTAGTATTTCTGAAGGTTTTCTGATGACATCTAGTGGTCAGTTTTAGGAATGCAGCAAAGATCCAAAGACAATTTAAACATTTATTGATACATTTTGGTGTTTACTGCTTTATAGTCATTTGTAACTAAACATCAGAGCAGCAAATATTGGCTACTTATCTAACATGACCACCTCCTAAAAGCAGAAAGTGACATATTATTTTATTTGTACTGGCATTTAGTGGTAACCTGACTCCGCCAGATGGATTTGCTCCGCATATCCATCTGGAAACCTTCCGTTGAAGTAATTTTGGGAAGGGGCGAAAATACTGGTTAGCTGATTGGCCTATGTTGGTGATAGACGGGCCAAATAAACCAATCAGATCAACGAAGCATATGACGTACTAACAGAGCGACGACGAAGAGGAGCCAATTGATAGATCAAACTCTTGCCGAAACCAGTCGGGAGAAGAGCAAAAACATCTTTTCCTCTGAGAAAAGCCTCCAGAGCAGTGTTTTGCTCTTCTTTCAGTGAAGAAATACTCTGTAATTCCCATAAAACTTGCCTGATAGCCACGCTAACGCTAGTTTCATCGGCTGAAGCCGCCATGTTCTTTAGACTGAACTGTCGCGCTTCTCGTTGCGTCACACCTCAACCCGCCTCAAAGCCAACGCTGATTGGACGTTCGTTTGGTGAACGGCTCCAAATTTTCTTCAACGGAGAGTCTCCAGACTGATCTGTGAGTGAAACCTTGAAAGCTCGCGAGATCAGGATAGTCTCACGAGGCTAGTTTAGTGGCGCTTCAGCAGCCGAAATGGAAATAAATTTCATTAGCTGCCAAGTATGGTGGTAGCAGCATCATGCTGAGGGTCGGATTTACTACTTGTGATTTCAACTTTTTGTTAATTTCTTTAACTTTATCTCAAAACAACCATCAGAGCTGCTCTTTGGAAGCAACAGCTTCCTTCCTGTGCTTTAAATCTACTTCTTCTGCTTAGAAGAAGAAGCTTGCGGCCTAATATTAGTTGGGTATATTTTATATATATGTTCTAACCTTTCATGCAGATTAACTGTGGGTGAGTTTCGGTTTGCAAAAAAATGTTGAGATGATGTCTGTGACGGGTAAAACCTTCCAGTATGTTTCCAAAAGCTTTTTATTAGCAAGCAGATAACATTTACGGAGCTGACTCACAGTTTTCCCCAAACTTCTGTGATTCTCTCTGGCATAGGAAATAACTTCTGAGCCAAATCCTGAGCCAAGCTTGGAGTCTTGCAGTTTTATTGGCTTCTGATTCCACAAGTGAAAAATATATGATTTATCCTTTGAAAGCTTCGTCCTCCTTCCTGTTATTTTGCTTCATGTCTAGTTACTTCTCTCAGAATCATGTGCAGGATCTCGCATGAAGAGCGAGCTGTTATATTTAACACCTTGGTCCAGATCAGAAGCAAGCGGGGAGATTTTCCGTTCACTTTCCTGCAGTAAAGCTCGTTAGCGGGGTTGTTGATTGCGTCTGCTGCGTGTAGAGCGTTAAAACAGCTGTCATCTGTCAGCGTTTTCATCTGGTGTAATGTCTTTCCCAGGGCTCCTGGGAGATCATCCATCAGACAGCGAGGCGGAGTGCTGCGACGTTCGATGGGACTCTAAAATGGACAGCCCTTCAGGCAGCACACTTAAAAGGACTGCTTCTTCCTGCCAGCCCGAGGGGGCTTCGGTCACTTCGGCGGCCAGCTCGAGACTGTGCAGCGGGCGACTGAAGATATGCCTGCTGGCCCTCGTCCTTCTACAAACTGTCATCATTATTTCAGCCTCACATAACTCTACGTTGCTGGAAGTGGCCGCCATTTTCTCGCTAGAGGAGGGCTCGTCGAACGAGGAGTGAACCTCCGTTGTGCCGGGAGGGGGGGGGGGGATTGGCTTTTAGGGCGCCATGGCCGCCGGGGACACATCTGGTCCAGACATGCCGGAGATGTCACTGCGATCTGCTGCCAACAAAGCGTCAATCACACAACATGGGAGGGCTTGAACTGGAGAACAGGGGTCTGGGAGCGGACGTCGAACCCCGACCGCGATGCTCCAGGACCACCCAACCCCCCCCACAAAGAACTGACCTCTTGCCACTAGAAACCTGCTCATTGTTTCTATCTCATCCAAATGTTTTTTAGCATATCGTCCCTGTACCCTCCCCCTCCTACCTTCCCTCTCCTCTGGTCTCAGTGTCTGGATGGGTGAACGGACATTGACGAAGTCTGCATTCCTTTAGATCTTTTCTGCACTTTTCTCCCCCCTTTCAGGTGGCTGAATATTTTTGCCCTATCTGCCATGTTCCTCTCTCAGTCCATCTCCTTCGGTGCGTGTTCTTAATCGAGGGCCTTTTAGTATCTGCTCATCCTTTAGCTGTGGGCGTTTGATTTTGTTTTCTCCCAGATTCTTTCTGACCCCTTGCGAAGGCGCATGCCTCAGCATTTTAGGACCGTAAGTGCTCTGACTCGCTTCCTCCTCTTGACTTGTTCTGCAGCTGGATAAGTTTGAAATAAAGCAGGAAGCTTAGTGACGTTGCAGGAAGTAGAACCCGGCTTAACAAGACGCTTCATGCGCCAAAGTCTTTGGTTCCCAGAAAGAGTTGCAAAAAGCAGCCTCACTCGTCAACCAGGAATCTTTCTCCACAAATAGGCTTTTCCCCACCAATTTGACTCCACCGCTCCACCAGTGGTGTTGCTAAAACCAGTTGTTCCAGTTTGTTTTCCTGCAAACAAAAGAAAAAACCTCTGCCATATATCCAAGTACCTCCATGAACAGATGCATCGTTATCCCCAGCTCCAATATTAAAACCTATTTAAGGGAAAAACATACTGACAATGTTTGACAATAATAAAGGTGGACAGTGGCTGAACCAATGAAATATAAACTAGGACTTATTGTAACCCAGCAAAGGCCTATTTCAACATTAACAGCAGGAGGCAGAGGTGTAAACCTTTGCTTTTATCTTCCAAGCGTAATGAGATTCACAATAAGCCTTCGGCTGCTCTCCTCAGCCCCTAAACGACTAGTTCCTGCTAGAGAGGATTAATAAGTGCTCAACTTTAGTGAAATTTTACTTTTTTTGCTTCATCAGATAAGAGGCTACTGCTACACAGAGGAATAAGTTCAATAAATGATCAATAAATGATGAACAGGAAGCAGTGAGACAGAAAATGAAAGCTGCCTAAACCCACCCCCATAATAAAGTTTGTCCAGTTATTTTCTTTTTCTAAAGTCAATCAACTGTAAAGATCTGAATATAAACTAAAACTAAACTCATTGGGTTTGATTTTTAAATTCTTTTAAAAACTGCCCTCTAACTGCTTTCTAATTCAATTATAGTAGCCCAAAGCAATTTCTTAGATATAAGCTGAAATTTCTGTCTGGATATAGATTATCTGTATATTTTGTGACTTGAGCAAACTTTAACATATCCAAACATAAATGTAAAAATTTTTTTTATTTGGGAAGAATTAAAGGCAATAGCTATAAGTTTAGCTCCTCCAGGCCAGTAAGGGGCGTACTTGTGCCTTCGCGCTCTGGTTCCGTACTGTTTGCCTACCGTTCGCAGGTCCACTAATGCTAACACCAACAGCAACCAAATATTTCATGTAGCTGCTTTGTAGGAAAGCGGCTTCTGAGTCAATTTGCTCCCTTAAGTTGCTCCTTTTTTATTTATTTTTACATGAATCTAAGAAATTTAAAGGTACAGTGCAGTATGTTCTTTTCCGGGTGGATCATCTAAATAATTGGTCCTCCTAATTGTCAATCATTCTGGTGATGTGTTTACGTAATGTCGCACTATGTGCTCGTCCCCATTTTCAGTTGCAATTGCAAATCTTCTTTTGGAAAGTAAGCTTGCATGAGCGATGCAAACAGCAACTTTTAAACAAGAGCGTGCACGAAGGTAAAAATGGGCTTGTGCACGCTCTCGCACGCGTTTAATAGACGTTCCATTTTGAGAGCGGCTACAGGGTTGTGCATGTGTATTGTTTTATAAGTGGAGAGGGCAGGTCTTTTAAGAAAATTGCGAAAATCCTCCACTATACCTTTAACTGAAATCGAAGGATTGACAGTTCAAGCCCCGACTCCGACTTTCAGTGTCATTGTGTCCTTGGGCAAGACACTTCACCTGCATTGTCTACTGATGGTGGTCAGAGGGCCCGGTGGCGCCAGTGTACGGCAGCCCCGCTTCTGTCAGTGAGCCCCAGGGCAGCTGTGGCTACAATGTAGCTTGCCACCATCAGTGTGTGCGTGAATGGCTGAATGACTGAATGTAGTGTGAAGCGCTTTGGTCAAGTCTCCTGACTTGAATAAAGGCGCTATATAAGTACAGAAACTGAACCCCCTTGCCTGGACTTTCCTTTACTTAGAACAGCTTTCTGTTTGGGACCAATTCAATGTTCAAATTGAAGACGAAAAAAGTAGAAATGATGGACAGATTTGGAGCAAAAGTTACTAAGGTACTGTACCTAACTTCTCTTTTGGCCAGAAGCTGCCCAATAGCAGCAGACGACGCAGCAAACTCTGTCTTTTTGCCATTTATGAAATGATTTATGCGCCGCCCAATCAAGGAGCAACTTGGATCTTTCTCACGTGACGCCTAACTATTCCTGTTAGTGCAAAAAAAAATTCACGTCCATTTTAGATTGTGACTAAATATTTATACCTTTAAAATACCCTTAAAATTCATGAAACAATTATTTGTATACTATTTTTTAGTACAATTAAAATCTTTAATTGGCATCACTAGATATTCTGCGGATGTATAATTTTGTGAAGTTTTTTATAAAAAATTTGCAGCTATGACCTTTAGATATGAAATGTATTTACCAAATGATATCTGCAAGACCTGCTAATTCCATAAATTAATGTTTTTTTACACGTTAGAGGCATGGCCTTTATACCACTGAGCTAAGCAATTTAAAATGCACATACTATTGTCAAACATTGTCAGAAACAAAATGCATATGCTTTACTTTAAAATATGCTTAAATATACATATTTTCCTCAAATATAAAAAGAGACAATCTTAGCTGTTTAAATTTTGCTATCTGTTCAATGAATCTTACACGGAACGTTTCCAGCTCTTAGAACATCCATGAACAACACAAGCAGTTTTAAGGTGCATTCAGACTGAGCGGTGATTTCCGTGAGCACTGCGTCTGGTCCAGGGTGAGAGGTGACAGCAAGTTTAAATGATCATTTTTTTAAACGAAAATAACTAGTCTGCTAGTTTTGTTTCAGAGATATTAAAGATTATATTTAGGTCACCCAGAGGTCAACTATCCGAATTGAATCAAAATGATCTACATTTTCAGTAATGCTTGATCGGTGCAGGAAAGACTGTTCTTTTGTGTTGATTTAGTTTTTAAGATATAATTATTTTTATTTTCAGCCGATAATGTCGCCATTCCACTGCTGTTTCAGAATATAAAGTCATTGAATAACAAAACACATGATTCCTATGCTGACATTTAATATAACATTGGGCATGTTTGCCTTATTTAGTGGCTGGAATTATTAAACATTATCAAGCACTGAAAGATTAGATCACTTTAGTTCATCCAGAGCTGCGTCTGGATGACGGTCAGTATCTTGTACTTCCTCGTACATCTACCAAAGCAGAGAGCGCTGCTGCTGGGAGGTGAGCAGTGACAGACTGGGCTCTGTGCTGGAGGTGAGGGAGGATGACCAACAGTCCTTCTAGGGCTGAATTAAAACGGCTTTAATTAAATATTACTATGTCAATCCACCTCGCTCGGTCTGAACGCACCTTTACAGAAGGTTAAAAATAAAGCAAACTTTAGCGATCACATTAATACTCTGGCCCGGTTAAGAGTTGGCACTGAAGCTTTCACACCAGAACTTTGTGGGAGACTCATCTCAATCAGGCCGGCTGGTGATTGACTTCAGAAACCGAACCACCTTGCCTGGACATTCAATGTTCAAATTGAAGAAAAAAAAAACGTAAAAATGATGGACAGATTTGGAGCAAACGTTACTAAGGTGTTTATACTCTACCTAACTTCTCCTTTGACCAGAAGCTGCCCAGTAGCAGCAGACGATGCAGCAAACTCTGTCATTTTGCCATTTATAAAATTATTAATGCGCTTCTTTCTTTAGATCATTAGTTTGCTTTTCTAAGCTAAACGTAAAGGTTCCATTACAAGAAACCTGGTTCCTGAGAATCTCTTGGTATTATATTTATTATGCTGTTGACATAGAGATGTGGTCAGTGTAGTTTTACATGACAATTCATATAGAAATTTCACTGAGCAGCTTTTATTTTCGCTTAAAACAGTTCGATTAATATTACAACGTATGAATATTGTGATAAATATATAAAATATTAAGACAGAAAGTATCAAGGCACCACATCTATACAGGATCTACTTACCTCAGAGTTTATCTCTAAAATGTTGCCCCATTTACTAATACCGGTAATAATAAAATTGTTTGTTTTAATGTATAAAAATATACAAATTGTACTAAATTCCAATAAGTTGCTCATACTTGTGTTTCAACTGTAGCATCACCCAAAAAGCGGTGTTGATATTTCACAGAGGCCAAGTACTGAGCTGTGAGGAACTAATCCATTGGCCTTTAAATGTATAAATCCAAGGGATACAGCGACAGTGGGAAGCCATTTTAGTCTCTTTGTGGAGAGTTGAACTCAGGAGGTTTTCTTGGCTCTAAGTATTTTTGCTTGATGAACGAGGCTCTCCGATTGCATCTCAGCTCAGTGAACCCAGGAACTCAGATCCTTGCATCAAAGGTAAAAAGTTCAAAGTTAAGCTCCCTCTTCAGGACAAGTTCACCTGGGCCGGTTTGGCGTTTTCAGGATCTCAGAGTTTGTGCAAGTCAGTCAAACTGCCTGCTCTGAAAAATCACGAGTCGATCCACCTTCGTTCTTTCTCTGACTAGCGAAGAGTCGTCGTGCGAGGAGTTTTTAAAGGGCTGATTCATCCCATAACGTTCGGTGTTTTCCTTATTTTCAAATGACGCCTTCTGGTAAATCCTGCTTTTTTCCCCTTTTTTTTTTTCCACTCAGAATAGTACAATAAAAATAGATCTGTCTAAAGCCGGGACCATGAAATTAGGAAACCTTTGACTTAACAGCACATCTCAGATGAACTTTTAGCTTCATTTGTTGACCTTTGACCCTTCTTTTAGGTTGCTATTCCGACGCCTTTTATTCGTTTTCACAAACTGTTCCTTTGCAGGCAGCAGCACTTTCTCCCGCCTCACTTTTGGCCCCGCCCACCTTTATCATTAGCTGACTGAGTCCTGTGGATCTATGCAGATGACCCCTGACCCCCACCCCTCCCCTTCACCCAACACGCCTCAAAACGCCCACTTTGCTCCAGCCACTGTCGCCACCATGTCCTTCGCCCCCTCTAGTCCTTTCTGTTGTAAATATGTCCTGAGGATCCCCTAACTCCCCCCCCACCCCCCCACCTGTTGAAATCTCTGTGTTTTCTGTTTGCCTCCTTGGTTTTTCGTCTGTTTCTTGAGATTTTTGCCCCATCTTTCCGTTGTCTAAAGCAGTGGTGTGAGTTGATGAGTAGGACTGAGTTGGATGTTTAAAGGGAATGACACGAAGAGGTCTTTAAAAAGATATAGATATATATATATATATATATATATATATATATATATATATATATATGAAAAAGACAGAGCTTGAAACGAGAAAAAGGTTTAAATATAGAGAAAAAAAATATGATAAAGTTGTCATATTGTCATACTAGAGATGCTTTAGTTTGCTATTTTATTTTCTTTTTTTTTCTACAAAAGACT